ACCCATGTATAGTCATCACTATTTTAGTAATTTATTATATATAGATGCACACTATAAGAGGTTTTGGTGCCCCAGTCTGAGAAGTCTCTTTTCACAGATAGTCATTCATTTTGGAGTGGCCATCGACCACACTCACCACTCTAGGGCACTCGCATGGCTCCTCAAATTCAATCTTCCAATCCTACATCCTCCCTTGACACAAGCTTCACCCCTCATGCTATCTCATTCCTTGTTTACACCTGCCTATGCCGTCCGCAAGCTCCCCTATCATAATGCCTTAGCCCTCTCACAGGTGATCTGCCCACATGTGCTGCTTGAGCCCAACCACCACGTACACTCTTCAATGCCTGTCTCCATCTAGTTTCCCAGCACTGAAGTCCAGGGATACAGCGACCCTCCTCCCCTGACCCTAAAATAGCCCAGGCCACACTCACTGCGCCCGTTGGACCGGATGAAGTGGGTGGCCTGCTCAGGGCCCCCTGGCTCACGGGCATACACCTGGTGCTGCACACTGAGGTTGCTGTCCTGCAGGGCCTCAAAGACGCCCTCGATGGTGAAGTAGTGAGGCCGGTCATCTGTGCGGGCATCCAGATACAGCAAGGCAGCACGGGCAGTCCAATTGAAGTGCCCGTGTAATGTCACTACAAACTCACCCAGCTTGGGAGCAGAGGGACCAGTGCGCACCAGGGTTCGATAATGCTCATTCTTAGCCGCAAAACCAGAGGCCACAGCACCCGCAGTCAGCAGGGGAAGGCGCCAATGAGAGGCAAAGCGGGCCACAGAGGCAGCGGGGTACACACAACCAGGGCCCAACAGAAGGTCAGGGTCATGGTACAGCTTGAGGTCCACAGCGCGCAGCGGTGCCAGGTACTCAGAGCAGGCGCCATCTAGTTCAGAGCTGACAAACCGCAGGTCCACGGGCAGTGCCCGGCCCAGTGCCTCCACAGCTAGTGCCACAGCAGGACCTACCCGTGGCCAGGCCCAGGCATAGCTCAGGTTGTGTTCTGGCAGCACTACCGCCAGCGTCAGGTTCCGCGCCAAGGGAGGACGCACCCCACCTGCCAGGGCTGCCACCACCAGCAGGAGTGATGGCAGTGCCATGGGGAGAAAGCAGCAGCCCCACCGCCCCCAGAACCTGGGGCCACTGTGGCCTACTGGGGAGGCACAGGCACCACCCAGCCTGGAACCTGGGGAAATCAGAAAGATTTAGTGAGGATAAGCTAGGTAGGCTGAGATACAAAAGTGGTGGGGCGGGACAGGAGGAAGAGATGGGAGGAAGACCAGGGGATGGGTAAGGAGTGGGTCGGCCTGCCTAGGGTAAGGACCGAGGACTAAGAGCAGGGTGGCAGGAGGAGGGAGGGACCAAGGGGGCCTGCGACTGGGATGGGAACAGTGAGGTGAAGTAGGCTGATGAATCTAAAGCTGAGAAGGCAAAGGGGATCCGAGGCTGGGATGGGGTGGGGGTTGGGGGGAGGCTGATACAAAGAAAAGGCCTGGGGGACTTCAGAGCTGAAGGGGCTAGGAGGGCAGAGAGCGGCGAAAAGGAGGACCAAGGGGTAAGGTGGGAGGGGGCCCGCACCGCGGTGGGACTGGGACCATGGGCTGGCGGGGAGCGAAGCGAGGCCTGGGCCGGAGGGGAGGGAAGGGCAGGGGTAAATCTCCCTGTGAAGGCTTCTCCTGAAGCTCCTGCTTGGACTAACGGGCCCAGGGCGCTGGTCCCATCCGGAGCTGCGGCGGCCCCGCCCGTGTCCTAGCTCCTCTCCGCTCCGCTCCTCCAGGGCCCCGGCGGCCGGCGCTGCCCGGCGCTTCCTCCCGCCCCCCTCCTGGGCCCCCGGGCCCGCCGC